AAGATACAAAATTCTCTTATTTCGCAACATTACCCATTCTTTTAACAGACGCTTGATAATACAACATCCAATCAGGAAGACCAAAACCTCCATTTCTCTTAGCTTCCTGAAGCATTTTTAATTTAATCCTTGGTTTCCTTTTTCTCCAGATAAATCTCGAGATATGAAAGTTTAAGTCATCAAAGAATTTTTTATCAATTTTTACGGGAATCATTTGAAACTGAAACAGAAGTTTAGATAATACATTCATTTTGACAAGTGCTATTCTTCCCATCAAAGATAATTGTAAATTGGCCCATTTTTCCAAAAAGCATTTAATATCCTTCAATAATTTATCATAATTATCTTCTTTCAAGGTGGTACATTTAGCTGTAAGATAGATTCTCAAGTATTTAACCTTTTTAACAATCTGCAAATCTACTTGTTCCTGGAGTCTTTCTTTTTGTTCTCGTGTAAGGTTTTTAACTAACAATTTCATTTTTTTCTCTATTTATTTTCATTTCCGTAACTTCATCATATTCTTCAATCCATTGTAAAAGTTTGGACATTGTTGTGAAAGGTTCCTCCATTATAAAAACCAGATCATCCACAAATGCTTGCAATTTATAACTTTAGTCCCCAATTCTAGTTCCTTTGATGTCCTCGTCATCTCTAACACATCTATTCAGTACCTCTAAAATCATAAGGAACAAGAGGGGTGACAGAGGACATCCTTGTCTTGTGCCCTTTTGAATCTCTATACGGTTTGAAAGTTCTCCATTAAGTAAGATCCTGGCTGATTGCTTTTGATAAATACTTGATATCGCATTCATAATTTTTTCACCAAACTCCATTTGAATCTGTTGTTTCATAAACTGCCAATTAACATTATCAAAGGCTTTTTGGGCATCTGAAAACAATAAAGTAATTGGTTTTTTGGTATGTATCTTATAATACTCTAAAATATCCAAGATAGTTCTCAGGTTATTCTTCATTTGTCTTTTTGGCAAAAAGCCATTCTGGTCTGGATGGATAAAGTCTATTAATAACTTCTTTAAACTTTCTGAGAGTATGGAAGCAAAAAATTTGTAATCCACATTTAATATTGAAATAGGTTGGTAATTTTGAATCTGTGCTACATCCATATCTTCTTTCGGTTTTAATGTGATATTTGCCTAGGTCCAAGTAGTCAGTATTTTAGCATTTAACAATGCTTCATTACATATGTCTTTCAAGAGTGTAACAAAAATTGCTTCGAAAGATTTTTAAAACTCGGCTGGTAGTCCATCCGGGCCAGGAGTTTTGTCATTCTTTTGTCACTTGATTGCTTCTATTACTTCCATGATTGTGACTTCTTGGTTTAATAATTTTTGATATTTCTCTGGTAGTTTTGGTAACTCTTCCTTTTGAATATATTTAACTTTCTCGATTGAAGTCTCCTCCTTCTGATAAAGCTTTGTAAAAAAAGTCTTCCACTATTTTCTTGATTTGTGCACTCTGTGAATGCAGCTGTCCTTCTCTGTCTTTCAATTTCACGATCAATCTCTTCTCTTTTTCTTTCTTAACTTTATGTGCTAACAATCTCCCTGGTTTGTTAGCATTTTTGAAGAAATTCTGTTTGGTCAATTTCATTTGTTTAGTAAGCTCATTGGTATCCAAAAGCTTTAACTTATGCCTTAAAATATCCAGCTGAGACTTAAAACTTTGCTTTGATGTGTCCTCCTGCAGCATTTGTTCCAATTTCATCAACTCCTCTACTATCAGTGCTTGCTCTTGTTTTTTCTTTTTATTTATTTGCCCTGAGTATGTTATTTTCACTCCTCTAACATAGGCTTTGGCTGTATCCCAGACATTCTGTACAGAAGTTTCTTCTGGTTTATTTATTTGAAAAAATACTTGCATTTCCTTATTCATCTTTTCTGTGATTTTTTTATCCTTTAACAATGCTTTATCTAGGCTCCATCTGGGCATCCTTACAGTTCCTTTTAGTGATAAGAATACCGGGTTGTGATCTGCTTACAGACATTTGTCTCTATTTCAGCTTCTATCAGATCTGGTACTAAGTCTGGAGTTATCCAAACCATATCCATTCTAGACCACGACCTATGTCTATTTGAGAAAAAGGGTATTTGGCCAAAGATGGGTTTTTGTTCCTCCAAGCGTATGTCAGTCTAAAGTCCTCAGTCATGTTAGAGCAGGACTTTGGGAGTATCCTCCTAGTCTTTTTTCCTTTACTAACATTCTTATAATCCATTTGTTTATCCACAATCGAATTAAAATCTCCCTTTAGACACATCGTCTGGAAATCCACTTGTAGAAGTAACATGTGTAATTTTTGGTAAAAAGTCTCCTGATGATCGTTTTGCGCATATGTTGCCACTAAAAGTACTTTTTTCCCATTTAATTGTAATTTCAACCATCAGAATTCTACCTTCCTCATCAGAAAGAATAAATTTAGGGTCCAGTTTTTCCTTAACATAGAGTGCTAATCTCTTTTCTTTTGAGAAGTAGAAGATACAAACAATTTTCCCAGTTTTAAGCATTCCAAAAGTTTAACGCTTTGCTTCTTAATATGTGTTTCTTGTAAACAGATTATATCTAACTTTCATTTTTGAAGATGAGCAAAAACCCTTCTTCGCTTAGTGGGTCCATTCTGTCCATTAATATTTAAGGAGAGGAATTCAATTCTCCCTTCTCTTTTTGTAGCCGCATTTAAGAAAAAATAAATAAATATGTGTGTGTGTGTGTGTGTGTGTGTGTGTGTGTATATACTTATACATATCTACTTATTTTTCGCCTTTACGGCTCTACCCTTTCTCTTCTCCTTTGGGTCCAAAATTTGTGCTTCTTGCTGTACATCGAGATTCGTTACTTCTCCTTCTTCCGAATGATACTCTGTTACTTCCATTGCTTCAGTACTTTTTCCTTCTTCTTTTGCAATGCCAAGTTCTTCCTGTTCGAGCATCGATCTAAATTTTTCATAGAATTCTTGGGCTTTGAGAATTGAGTCTAATCTATATCTTACAGAGTTCCAAGTGAAAAATATTCCTTCTGAGTAATCTCTTTCTTAATCAATTTAGAGGTAAGAAATAAGTATTTCTTTCTCTCATCTCTAACTCTCCATGGTATTTGTTTCAGAACCTTCACTTCTTGATGATCATCTCTCTTTAACGGTTTCTCACATGTAGGCCTCAAAACATTGTCTCTTATAGACCTTAGAGAAAATTTGACATGAACTTCTCTTGGGAGTTTGTTTCTTCTAGTATAGCTTGAATTGACCCTATATATCAGGTTGATCCCCAAGTCCATGGCTTCATTATCTACTCCTAAGAGATCTGCCAGCATATTGGTCATCAATTTCTGCAACTTCTCACTCTTCTCCTCTAATATATTCTGAAATCTTAAGTAATAAGATGCTTTTTCCATGTCTAGTACGGTCACGGCATCCCATGTTGACTTACATGTTTGTTTGATTAACTGTGTTACTTTGTCTACCATCTCTAGCTTTTCCTGCAGTTTTCCTGTATTTTTTGCATATTCTGTTCAGCTTTGAGTCGAACAGCAGAAAGCTGAGTTGTTATCTCCTTAATAGAGTTATCCAATTTATCCCATTGCTTTTTCTGTTCACTTGACATACTCTCCAGCCATGTTACCATCACTTCTTGAGAAGCTTGCATCCTCTCTTGGGATGCTTGCAAAGCTGTTAAGGCCATCTGTATTGCCAAAGTCATTTTTTGCAATTCCCTTAAGCTTTTTGCCATCTCTTCTATCTTAGGTTGGTGAGTTGGGCTCTGAGTCGCTGAACAGGGAGCTGAGGAGGAGGTCTGTGTTTTCCTCATATTGAAAGTTATTCATCAAAAAAGGAGAAAAAATAGAAAAGAGAGGTGAAGTTGAAAGGAAGACCTAAAGGGAAAAAGGGGGAGGGGAAAAAAAAGGAAAAAAGAGCTTGCAGTAATTCCAAGATCCACCGGGTGTCAGCAGAAAATCATTGGGAGGTGGGAAGGAGCTTGCAGTAATTCCAATTTCCACCAGGTGTCAGCAGACCATAGTCTTCTCTAATTAGCCTGTCAGGAATTTATTTTGGCAGTCATCCAATTATATATATATGTATATTGGCAGAAGTCCCAGAAAGCAAATAGAAGGCCAAGAACACAAAAAGCCACTTTCAACAAGTTATATTCTGGTATAGCTTAATTCCACTGTAATTGTTACTTTAGTTTTTGCCCTTGAGGAGGTTTATGAGACATGATTTCAGCTTTTACACAAGCCTTAAGTCCTCCCCCGTAACGCTAGATTGCCGCAGGTGAGAAAGCTTCCTCCCTCCCTCAAAGGGACTTACTTTCTTTGTTCTTATACCAATTAGTAACAAGTACAGCTTTTCCACAAATAGTCTTCTAAGAAAGGAAAGCAATGCTCACCCAACAATGATAATAAAATAGAGAAAAACACCACATAATACAAAAGTTTCTTGGCAGATATCCAGATATCCTTGGCAGGAGTCCAGTATAGAGAAAGATTTCCTATCAATCAATTCCACCTTAACTGCTTGTTTTTTAAATTTTTTGCCCTGGAGAGATTAGAGAAAGAAAGCCTTTTCTTTACTTGCAAACAGCCCCGTCTCTCTCCTTCATCTCAGTTGCCACTTGAAGTTCTGTGAAAGGAGGGCTTTCCTTTTTTTTTTCTTTTCTTATATCAGTTAGCAAAAACAAAAAGCATTCCCACAGGTAATAATGTAAATAAATAAATAAATGTGTCCCAGTAAATCCAATGACAAACAAATTCCTAAACTAATCTTCTGGCATGTCGGAGATGGATGGGAGGCTGACCTCCTCCCTGTGTTGTCCAGCTGAAAATGCCTGATTCTCCCCCAGTAGGCATGGAATAGCCATCCCACACCGCCTAGGAGATTTCCCAAACACTTATCTTCTACCCCGACAGGGCTTAGATTGGGCTCACAGCCCACCACTGGACATTTACCAGCGTGATAACAGAGCTTCGTTGATCACGGCTGCCTTGTCTCGATGCCATTACCGGAAGTAAATAGGTCTCTTCGAGTAAATTTTATTTTCTTTACCCACTCTCCATACAAGGTCTAACATTACAATTTAAATATTGGCATGTCTTTTAATGCCAACTGAAATACATGAGATTTAGGCTTATATCAAATATATTTTCTTCCACGTTTTGTGGCCTGTTAAAAATTGAATACAACTTGGTCATATTGAGAATGATGTGGGCATTAGTAATCAGGCCAAATATATATGTTGTGAATTTCAAAAGTCAATTAAATAAAACAATGCTTTATGATGATGGCTACCCTTGCTCAGTCTAGTGCCCAGATAGGCAACTTCAAGGTCACTGTCTTTCCCCTTTTCTCAATTTGTGATCTTGAAACTTAGAAAGCCCTTCAAATAGAAGACTGTCCTCTGTACAATGGTACGCTTGGCAACTCTAGAAGCAAAACAGCTAAGAAGCCTAAGTAATATCATGGAATTATGCAAAAGTTGAACCATTTAACCATTCAGGTTGGTTTTTAAATGCTTTAAATCTTTACACCACTGCTTCTGTTACTTTCTTTTAACATTGCATGTTATCATCTTTGAAGCTGTTAAAGGTACATATTTTATCATGTTGTATTTGGGGGTTCAGAGAGCTTGGGTATTTGGAAGTACAGGAATGTACCAAGCAAGCAAGCAAAATAAATGTTTCCAAATATGGTTGAAGACATATTAAGAATATAAGATATTAAGAAAGAAAATTCATGACTATAGAAGTCTTACAGGACTTTACTGTTAACAGTGAAGCAATTTAAACTGTGTAAGATTTTACATATCTTTGCTCAGTCATTGATTCAATTGGAGACTGCATCCAAGAAATTCAAAGCAAACTGAGACTTAGGACAGGGAGCAATGAAGGTGCTAGAAAAGATAATCCAGTAAAAGGTGTTTCACTGGAGGCCAAGGATTAAATAATCCACACTAGTGTTTTTTGATTACTATGTATGGAGGTAAAAATTGGTCAGTGAAGAAAGCTGACAGAAAGAAAACTGATGTTTGGAACATGGTGCTGGAAGACCAAGCTTTGTGAACATGCTGGGCCACTGGAAAGACAAATAAGATCCTAGATTCTAGATCAAATCAACCCAGCACTTTCCCTATAAGGAAAAGTGAGAAAGATGAGGCTGTCACACTTCAGACAGATAATGAAATGGAGAGAAACACTGGAGAAGACAATTATGCCAAAGGCATAAGAAGAAAAGGACAACTTAACATGAGATGTATTGATTCCATAAAAGAAGCCATAACATTGAATTTGTAAGAGCTGACCAGGGTTGTCATGAGGATGAATACATGGGTATATCCACTATATATTAACCTGAAGTAAGGTTGCTTATTATTAGTAGTAGTAGTATTGTTAGTATTAATAGTATTACTTACATGTATGTGCCATTTTTGGATAACATATTGCTTATGGACTATTGATTTGCTCTGGTTGTACAAGAGTAAAATTTGCCACTGAGCAAGCATACATTTCCCCTTTAGATAACAAATGGATTCTTAAGTAACACTTAACAGCTTATAAGAAGGAAAACTACAATGAATGACAAGTCATAAATATTCTGGACAAAAAAATACCTGGCAGAAAGGAATATTAAATATTTCATAGAGGAATATAAGACCTAGTGTATACAGTAGTAGAACTTCAAGTAGATTGTCAGCATGCACAAAATTATAGATATATTTGATTTGGAAAACTTTTTTGCCTGTCCTTACCAAACATCTAGCTCTTGTATGGCTTTGCTCCAAGGATGACAGATACTATCCAAGTGCCTTCGTACTATCAGATGGTTCCAAATGAAGACTATCAATATAAGGGAATTCTCCAGTTACTTCTTCATTTTGGGTGGATATGGACTGGATTAATTGCTGAAAATCAAGAGAATGGGGAGAGGTTTGTGCAGGACATGCTTCCAGCTTTTTCTGAGTGTGGGGTTTGTTTTGACCTTATTGAAATATTTCCCACAGTACGTTTTTATGATGAACTTGCTGTAAGAATTCCTGGATATATGAAATTTATGATAAAGTCATGAGCAGCAGAGCCAATTCTATAATCTTCTATGGGGAAGCTAACTCCATGTTAACTCTGAGATGGTTGTTGAACATACCATTTATGGCAGACAATGTAATGAATCCAAAATGTAAAGTATGGATTCTGACAGCTCAGATGGAGTTCATATCATCTGTCTTACAAAGGGATTGGGATATTCATTCCCTCCATGGTGCCATATCGTTTGCTGTTCATTCCAATGATTTAGTAGAATTCCAAAGATTTGTTCAAAGCAGAAACCCTTTCAGTATAACAGAAGATGGTTTTTTGAATATCTTCTGGAATCAGGCATTTAACTGTAAAATCCCAAATGCAGATCTTACTGAAGACAATGAGAATACCTGTACAGGAAAGGAGAGACTAGACAGCCTCCCAAAACCTTTATTTGAGACAAATATGACAGCCTACAGCTACAGTGTCTATAATGCAGTCTATGCTGTTGCTCATGCTTTACATACCATGGATTTTTCCACATCCAGAAGAAGAGCAATGGCAACAGGAGAGAAACTGAAGCTTCAAAAGCATCAACCATGGCAGGTAATAGCATCAATAGCTCAATCTGAGAACAGGTTCCTGAATTACCCAAAATGAAATGAGAACTATTCTCCATTTTGCATACTCTGGTACTGTTTCATGCAAATGGATTGTGTAGGTTAGGATTTTGGTCTAGGGAGAAGTATGGTATCGGAACGATACAGACATGATTAATGAACCTCCGTTATCACGTTGGTAAATGCCTGGTTGTGTGCTGTGGGACTCAATCTAAGCTCTGTAGCAGCTAAGATAGATTGCTTGGCGAATCCCCCAGGAGATGTGGAATGGCAATTCCACATTTAGTGGGAGGAAATCAAGTTTTTTCAGCTGGACAAAACCAGAGAGAATGCTGCTCTCCTTAAGTTCTCGACATACTCTTTTTTTCTTTTTTTTTAGCTTTTGTGAACACACTGGATCTATTGGAACGTTTCTTTCTTTCTTTCTTTCTTTCTTTCTTTCTTTCTTTCTTTCTTTCTTTCTTCTCCCTCCTCCTCCTCCTCCTCCTCCTCCTTCTTCTTCTGCTTGCAATGATACCCATGGAATAAGCTGTATTTCTTGCTAATTAAAAAGCCCTTTGGATGGAGAGGGAATGAACTCTCCCCCCCACACACACACAGAGTTGGAAAGTGACGAATTGCATAATGGAGAGAAAGACAGAACTGTTTGTAAGTAAGGAAAAGATTTATCTTCTTTAATCTCTCCAAGGGTGAATAATTGTGTTCTGGAACTGAGTAATAGAGAATCTTTCTTTTATTGGACTGTGTTGGACTGCTGCCAAGAAGTAGCGGCCATCTTTCTCTTTGTTCTGGGGACCCTTGGACACCTGCCAAGCCTTGATACTTTACTGCTATCATGGAGGAATTGCAGGAATCATTCCTGGCAATACGATCTTCTTTAATAGCTGTGCAGCTATCCCAGCAGGTGGTAATAATGCATCAGAAAACTTTTTTAGAGCGACTTGATTGTTTTTTAACTGAACAAAAAAGTGGCTTTGATAAGTTAGATATTGCTAGCAATTTCGCCTTACATAAACAACCTGCATCTGAACAGAATATGCAAAATATCCAACAAGTAGAAGGAAAATCTGAAACTGGAAAGAAAGAAAATGCAACTGATTTGCGTGATAGGCTGGAGGAGAAGACAGCTTTGTCACAAGACACATGATTTATTGCAGTCATTATGAAGCAAGCTTCCATGGGATCTGCGTGTTATCTTAGAGAAGGGCAATTTAGCTGACCATTTGAAAGTTTATGTTTATGTGGTTGCAACTGAAGACTTCACTACAGACAGAAGGAAAATCTGAAACTGGAAAGAAAATAAGTTCAACTGATCTGCGTTTCATCTTAGAGAAGAGCAATTTAGCTGATCATCTGAAAGAGGTTATGTTTATGTGGCTGCAACTGAAGACTCCATTACAGACATTACGGTGGTCTAATGGAAGAAAAATAGAAAGGTCTGGTAGAGGGGTAAAAAAATAAAAATAAACATGACAGGGCTGTAAAGGGAAGATAAGGGAAATTTCTTTCTTTCTATTCTAAAAAATAAATAAATAAAAGGGTGATTCATATAGCTTGATATGCTCACACATGATGCAGAAAGGCTAAGCTATTATTGCTGATGAAATAGTAGCAATTTAGCTTAATGAAATCCTGTTTAAAAGATATTATTGTTAAATGGATGTCTTTGATTGTATTTCTAATAAGCTATTGTTGCTGATCATATATGTTAAAGACTGTAAACAGCTGGGCTTTTATATGGAACTAACCATATTTGATTAAATGGTGTTTAAGTGAGATGAAATACTAGTAATTTAGCTTAAAGAAAAATCTTCAAAAAGGTATTATAGATATTACTCATCATCAAGTAGAGTAGGTAAGAAAATAGTAGAGATGCTGAATGGATATTTTTGATGTTTATATGTAATTGTGGTAGTAAGGAAGTTATTTGCTATTAGAAAATTAAAAAAGATTTTGAATTGTCCAGAAATGTTTAGGTCAAACTTACCATTGAAGAAGAAAGAAAATATTGCAATTTTATTTAACCTGGAGATGCTTTCTTTTGACATGGTTGGAGATACCACTCTTACCATGGAAGAGGAAACCTGGAGGTCTGACCCCACTACTCCTAACAGCTAGCACTGAAAGAGCAGGCTGTTCTCCAAGCTGTGAGTGTACAGGTAGGGTTAGGATGAAATGTAGTAGAATATTTTCTTATAGTATTTGCAAACTTCTCATGCTTAGCCCAGTCTCAGAAACAAAGCCAAGGTCAAATGGATGCTGCAGATGGAGGGAAGATTTATAAATCTCTTTGGGTAAACTATCAAATTAATTAAACAGCCAACAGAGAATTTGGGGGAGAGAGAAAAATAAAAAGTAAATTAACTCAGATGTTTCAAAATGTAAGGTTATCTTTGCTATTGTAACTATGGATGTACCTTGAAAAAAATGTTTTATTAGTTCATGACAATGGGTACATACAATATAGCAATGTTTCAGCTCCTGTTATCCATATGCATCTTTTATAACTTCTTTGTTTCCTCTTTTTTCAATCTAGCTCCACCATTTTTTAAAATGTGTGTCCTTTAACAGCAGTGCTGGAGACAAGGTTTCCTTTGACCAAAATGGGGTCTTAGTCACAGGATTTGATGTCATAAATTGGGTTGCATATTCAAATCAATCTATTGCCAGAGTAAAAGTTGGGAAGATGAGTACACAGCTTCCACCAGACCAGGCATTCACAATTCAGGAGGATGGCATTGTTTGGCAGAGTTGGTTTAACCAGGTAGGTCTTGAAAGCCACCCTTCTGGGAGATCAACCAATTTTGGTGTAAGGCAGATGTTTCCGCCAGTTCCAAATCATTATGCTAGACGAGTACATGGTAGATTTGTTTCTTTACCTTCATAGTCTCAATTTTTACTCTTTGGGTAATATTTGGTCTAATAAACCATCATGCAAGCACTATTGTCATGAGAAAAATTTCCCCATTTCTGAAGTATACATGACGTGAGCAGATGCCTTGACCTGAATGGTTTCCAACCACAGGTTCTGAATGGGCAAACTATAAATATCAAACTTCTGCCTCCAAAATAGTCAAAGGCTAAATTGCTCTTTTTAAAATAGAGCAAAATGAACCCCCTTTCAGAACAACAAGCACAATGAATATTGTACAAAGCCTCCAGGTCAATGAGAGAGTTTGCTCCTTAGCTTTATTACATTGGTAGAAGACTCAGACTGTCATACTTAGGAAATGAACATCAGGACATTTGCATAGTATACCTGTAACTGAAATGTAAGGATGACAAGCCTACCTTAATGAATATTAAATTTATCTTCATTCCTGGATGGATTAGACACGGCCCCTATCTTTGTGTAATGACAACTGCTATCCTGGGTATAGCAAGAGAATTTTGGAAGATAAGCCATCTTGCTGCTATGGCTGCATTCAATGTCCAGAAGGGAAGATCTCTGACCAGAAAGGTAGGTACTCTGATGTACAAATGTTAGCAAGCAGATGAGAAAAACTAGGATTAAACAAACAAGTAAGAACTTCCAGTTTTAACAAGGCATGAAGTCGCACATTTCTTCATGTAATACAAAGCGTTGTGAATACAGTTAAGGCTGCTTGCTCATCAATATAAGCTACAAAAACATTTTGCATTCTTTAAATGGTGCTAATATACCATTTTACTTCTATGTATTTACACTTTAGCTCAGATAAATCTAGAGATCAACTAAACTGCATCCCCATATTTGCAACTCTATCGCCAGAACATACGTGATTTTCTTAAGAGGTAGGAGAAATTGTGCATTTGGGAAATACGAGCATTCCAAGAAGGGAGACAGAAAGCACTGGCCATTAAAGAAAACAGAAAAAAATGTTTCATCCCTGTGAACAACAGTGGAGCTGGAGCAAGCAGTGGCCAGTAGACTGCCTATTTAGAAAAAGAATGAGTCAGAATGGACCTCCTGGGCCATCTAGTCTGACCCCAGCTCCAGCCAGCTCCGCTCATGGCATGCCTACCACTGCACCTTCAATAAATGGCTTGAAAATATCCTACAATATGATTTAGTGTTTTTCCAGAGTCATCATGGAGGGGAAAATAAATTCCACAGCATGCACATCTACCCACAGTATCTCTCGACTGTTTCTGCACTGAGATCTTTCCAAGGAAGATATCATTTGGGAAAAATGCTGACTCACCAAACACTCTTATCTGTATGGGCAATTTCTTTCTTAAATAGGATGAAATTTCTTTAACTTGAGTTCTTACATTTAATGGGAGTTTCTTTTTTAAATTGCTACTTTTTTAAGAAAGAAAAAAATGTAAAAAAACTCAAACCCATCACTACTTTCCACATAAGCTACCCAACACTGAAAGTGTTAACAGTTTTCTTCCTGATTTTATTCATACTTCTCTTCTCTCTCCTCCTCTCCCCTCAGTGAAGGAAGGGAAATAACTTTTTTTGCAGTTTTTGTGCAGCCTCATTCTGAATTTTATCTTCAATTCCAACAACCAATACCTTGCATAGCTTATTTTCAGCTGCAGAGTATGGCTTAGTAATGTTGTACAAAGGTCAATCAGAGTCATGAATCAAGCCGACTCAAATATCAGGCCTGCAGAATTGTTCTGCTATGGTTTATAAAAATTTACAGTGCAGTCCTCAGAAGTAAATCCCACTGAACTGAATGAAACTCTAAGTGTGTACAGATTAGAAGTCTTAGCATGAAATCCTATGTACTGAGCCCTCATGGCTTGGAAGGCCATGAACCCAGAGATTTTCAAGATTTTTGTTTCCTGCTGGGTTGAGCAGTGGAGAAGCAGTGGTGGTGATTCCCAGAATCCAACTTCCCCTGAGATTTATAATGTGTTATTCTTGCTTTTCAGACATGGCAAGCTGTTTTGAATGCAAAAATGGTTATTATCCAAACAAAGACCAAAATGTATGTCTTCCGAAAGTTGTAACATTTCTGTCTTATGAAGAACCCTTGGGGATCAGTTTAGCTGTTAGTGGACTTTACTGTTCGTCCTTGACAGGACTTGTGCTAAAAACATTTATGAAGCATCACAACACTCCTATAGTCAAAGCCAACAACCGGAGCCTCACCTACACCCTTCTCATCTCCCTCCTGTTTTGCTTCCTTTGTACAATGCTTTTCATAGGACAGCCTAGTAAGGTGACATGTCTCCTTCGCCAGACTACTTTTGGCATCATCTTCTCTGTGGCTGTTTCTTCTGTGCTGGCAAAAACTATCACTGTCCTTCTAGCTTTCATGGCCACAAAACCAGGATCCAGAATGAGAAATTGGGTGGGGAAAAAACTTTCCAACTTCATTGTTCTTTCTGGTACACTTGTTCAAACAGGCATTTGTATTGTGTGGCTGGCAACCTCTCCCCCATTTCCAGATGTTGATGTGCATTCAATGGCTGAAGAAATTGTATTGGAATGCAATGAGGGATCACAGACTATGTTTTACTGTGTTCTGGGCTATATGGGCTTTCTGGCCCTTTTGAGCTTCATTGTGGCTTTTCCAGCTAGGAAGCTGCCAGACAGTTTCAATGAAGCAAAGTTTATAACTTTCAGCATGCTGATCTTCTGCAGTGTTTGGGTATCTTTTGTTCCAGCCTACCTGAGCACAAAAGGAAAATACATGGTAGCTGTGGAGATCTTTTCAACCCTGGCTTCCAGTGCTGGGTTGTTGAGTTTCATCTTTTTCCCCAAATGCTACATTATTCTTATGAGACCTGAACTAAACAATAAGGAACATCTAATAAATAGAAACCACTGATAAATTTATAGGTCCCTCTCAGGAACTGTCTACTTACGTTGAACTCCCTCCACCTACCTAACTTGCTAAATTCTTATCATTTTAAAATGCAGGAGTGGCTTATAGGAAACAGAAATGGATGTGTACAATCTTTTTCCATCCATTTCTTTTTCAGCCATTTTGACAGTAAATACTCAAGGTTGGATCTAGCCTTAAGGACGCTTAGGATAAAAAAAATCAACAGGACAACTAAGTAAACTGAACTTAATTTGATTTAAATGGTTTGGATGCATCCCTAAACTGCTTTTGATAGTGAGTTATAATTTATTAAAACTGTTGATAGTGATTTATGTGTAGCTGCTATGAGGGCAACTCTCAGATAAGAATATTTAATACTAGAAATTCCATTCAACATCTGCTTTTTTTAAAATTTTATTAAAATTTTTAAGCTAATACTAAAAACATTAATCATTATGTACATCGGATTTACTGGGTCAACCCCCTACTACATATTTTGTAACATTCTATAGTCATATTTAAATCAGTTTATAATAACTTGAAAACGTCTCTAAATATATGCCAAGTCCAATTTCTCCAGCCAATTATATAAAAAAAAAAATCCAAGTTTGATAGAAGTCAGTGCCTTCTTTCTCCTTCAATGATAATCTATCCATTTCTACACACTTCAAGATCTTTCTTAAAATCAATTCATCGGTGGATAGCTCCTCCTTTTTCCAACATTGAGCAAATGCAGTCCTTGCCACTGTGATTAAGTGTAACATCATATACATTTCCTGTCTATTAATGTCTTCCAGTATGATGCCTAACAAGAAAACTTCGGGTTTAAAAGCAAAGGGTTTTTGTAGTATTTCCTCTAGCCATTTATTTATTTTAATCCAATACTTTTTCACTTTAACACAAGTCCACCACATATGATAAAAAGTACCCTCTTTATGTTTACATTTCCAACATCTATTTGACATATTTGGAAACATCTTAGCTAATCGGCTTGGCGACAAATACCATCTATAGAACATTTTATATAAATTTTCTTTATACGAAGTTGCTAATGTTACCTTAATATTCCTCTCCCATAGTTTTTGCCACTTTTCTAGTTCAACATTATATCCGAAGTTTTGTGCCCATGTTATCATAGTTTCCTTATCCTGTTCCCCTTCCATTTTCCTGTCAAGTAAAAAATCATATAATCTTTTAATAATGTTCTCACCTGTTTTAAGCATCACTTCATCAAACACTGTTAAGTCTTTGTAAAACCCCCATACTTTATGATCTTTAGCATATCTCAATTGCATCTGCATCTTATACCACCAGGAGATATTAAGTCCCTGTTCTTGTATTTCTTGATCTAGTTTCAGACCACCATCCTCATCCAAAATATCGGCATATCTTATCAACTTCTGCTTTCTGTAGTGTTTGTGGCAGTTAAGTATAGTGGATTTCCCCCATTTATTTCAGAAAACACACATACCCAAAAAGAGATTGTGAGGCATTCCAAAAGGGTTTGTTCAGACTGGGATTTGTTCATACTGGACATCAGAAAGGAAATTCTAATAGAAACCATTGTGCTACTATGCTGTGACTTTTTACTGAATGTCTCACTGTCCTCTGAACCAGGCATTGTTACAGGAACTTCATGTTTAAAAAAAAAAAAAAAAAAGAGCAGTGTATCTGAAAGTCTTTAAAAGAAACAACTCTATATACTCGGCATAAGATGTTTTCCTCATCCCCTTATATATAAGATCAGTGGAGATTGCTTAAGACATGGTAAAGAAAGGCTAGGTGAGATAATAATCATTTACCAGGCTTGATTAAAAAGGTGAATTTTGTGGACTGTGTGAGTGTAAGTGAATTTGGGGAATTGCTGATTTGGAGAGCTCTGTAAGGTTTTGACAAAGGTTTCCAGAGAAAGCTTTGTGTTTAATGAACTTTTTTTTAGATGTGCTGTCAACCAAAAGTTATTGAGGCAGGATGCTTAAGATGTTAGAGATGTTCAAAATTCTCTGGAAGCCATAAAA